ATCAGATATTGTCCAAGATTAACCTTCAGGGTGGATATAGCTCGCTAGCACTGAGGACCTAGTTCACGTCATCATTTACCCAGAATGCTTTGCGTGCAAATAAAATGGCCCCGTCCGTGTAATATATTTTTAAACTTTTAGTTTAAAAATGATAAAAACGGAACATCCTACAGTAATTTTACAGTCTTTATTTTACAGTTAAAGTATATGTTTATCATATAAAGTCTAATGTTACAACTAATTGGAGATCTCTTTAAAATGTGCCAAATAATGTCATCACCCAAGACAGCATGCAACTATACTAAGAGATAAATGTCATTTAACTGACACTTATACTACTTTGCTTTTTTATTTATCTACTTTAAGTACTTYTTTAAATATTTTAAAATGTCCTGGAGCAAATCATGGAGTAACAAACGGTGCAAAAGTAATCATCTGTTTTACACACATTAGCCAGAGTTAATTAAAACTCGTCTTTTACTTGGAGTTAAGAAAATCTTTGTGCCTTTAAGAAACGGGCTGAAGTCAATTTGTATTATTTGAATTGAGCACAAAACTATTTAAAAAAGAATATTTTCACATTCAACGCCATTACCATCACAACAATGCTCATTATAATATAGAAAAAATGTAAAATCGAGAAGAATAGCTGGCAAAAGCCCTAATGGCGTTCATCAAACACATAATCAACTTCTGGTTTAAAAGAAAAAAAACTGACTAAAACATGAAATGACTCAGACTTTGTGTCTTGGTTTTAAACATATTCTGTATAAATGCAGCGGTTTGTTGCTCAGCGCTGCACTTTAGAGGAATCAGTTTGTATGACTGACTCACACAGGTTTTGTTCTTCTAAATGAGCTTATCTTTTCATTTTAATTGTTCTTTGTCTCGCGCATTTACAAGCTTTTCCACTGACAGGCGGAATGTTCTTGATAAGGAAAACAGGAGATGAAATTCACACAAAACAATTAGATTTTAAAAAGTGATATGTGTCATTATTGTGTGCTCCTATACGATGATGATTTGCACTCTTCATCACACGTGAGATAAACCTGAGTGGAGCAGCAGGCAGCTATGTAAGAGCCCGGGAGGCCGTTAGGGAGTAGGCGACTTGCTCAAGGGCACCACATCAAATTGGCATGACAGGAACTTGAACCTGTGGCTTGACTGCCCTCCCACTGCCCCTATTGTTGACCTTACTGTTCTGTGCATTAAAATGACCAATTTGGCATTTATAGAGCACAATTCAAACAACACAGGTTGACTAAAGTGTTGTAAAATACCAGAAAACAATTAAAACAAAAACACAAATAGCCAAACATATAAAACCAATCACTGACATAGAAAAGAGATTAAAAACAGATTATAAAAGCAAGATAAAATTATTCAAACAAAAAAAGTGTCTTAGACATTTTAGACAACTTATGCAACATCAGCAAATTTTGTCCAACACGCTGAGGAAGACGAAAAAAAGCATCAATTATCACCTTTGTTTGGACGTGATCATATCATGTTGCTAATGACTTGAACAGATATAAAACCTATGAGTAAATTATCTCGACCTTAAACATAACGTGTTTGGATTTCTGCATGTGCAACATCAGTGGAACTTCTGCAGAACCTCTGCGCAGCGTGACGGAGGAAAATGTGACGTCGGCAGCAGTCACACAG